ACAAAACTGTCGTGAATTTTAAGGCAGTAATGAATTGTTAGTCCTGTTAGTTTAACGCCATACCAATTTTAGTCACGAGATTCCAACTTTTTGCCTTTTGGTTTTGCAAGTTAATATTTTGCTGCAATTTTAGTCCTTTGTAGTTTTTTGAAGACTGAAATTGCCACAAAATTTTAAATTACGGTACAAAATTATCAACAAATTTTTAACTTATAGGACTTAAATTGATACAAAAAATCTGGGAAATTGGGAATTTTGTATTTTTGTTGCAATTTCAGTCCTCAAATTGCAACAAAATATTAAATCACAGGTCCAAAAAACAAAAAGTTGGAACCATGGGACTAAAATTGCTATGGCGTTAAACCAGCATGACTAAAAATGTAATTTTGCCGAAGTATCATTTTTTTTTTTTTTCATGAAACCTTACATATTGCTCGTCCAGGTATCACGAAGAGGTCCTAAACCTGCCACTCGCTGGCATCGAGGCTGTCCTGTCAAGTGACGACCTGCAAGTAGCCTCCGAGGATGCAGTCTACGACTTTGTCCTCAAGTGGGCCCGGGTCCACTACCCGAGGCCCGACGAGCGCCGTGAGGTCCTTACCACCCACCTTATCCGCCTCGTCCGCTTCCCGTGCATGACCTGCCGAAAGCTCAAAAAAGTCCTCACGTGCACCGATATCGACCCGGAGGTTGCCTCCAAAGTCGTGCTCGATGCTCTCTTCTTCAAGGCTGAGGCTCCGTACCGCCAGCGGGCCCTCGTGGCCGACGACTCGGGCCCATCCATCCGCCGCTTCACCGAACGGGCCTACAAGTACAGGCCCGTTAAGGTCATCGAGTTCGAGGCGCCACGTCACCAGTGCGTGGTGTACCTGGACTTGAAACGGGAGGAGTGCGTGCAGCTGTTCCCTTCGGGCCGGGTGTACTCGCAGGCTTTTCACCTTGGCGGGCAGGGCTTTTTCTTATCGGGCCACTGCAATATGGACCAGAACAGCTCGTTTCACTGTTTCGGGCTTTTTCTTGGGATGCAAGAAAAAGGGTCGTTGGCTTTCACGGTTGACTACGAGTTTGCGTCGAGGACAAGGCC